TCCACAGGTGACCTCTCCCTCCCGCTCTGTCTTTAACTCCACAGCATTCAGCGAGCTGCCTGTGATCCCTCCTCCAAAGCCTCCTCTACTTTCCCTCCTTTGTCTCAGCAGCCCCCAGCTGTGCACAAGATGGAGGAAACCTTGAGATAATCCTCTTCTACGTCAGATTACAAATGTGAGGATGCAATCTTCAAATCCCCGTTCTGTAAGAGATAGACAAGCTGGTTATTGGTTGGCTTATCCAGCTGTAGTGGGAGACGGATGAAGGGGGAGGGGTAATGATGATGAAAGGAGATAGTGAGGCAGCAAGCGTCATTGTCCCCCCACCTGGTGAGAGGAGAGCAGGACTGATGCATGAATGAATGAGTGGAGTAGAAATAAAATGAAGAAAACATCTCTGTTTCTGTGTCTTTGGCTCTGGTCTCCATTCCTTCTGTTTTTCCATCACTCACACACTCACGCAGCTCCCATCTGACCTCGGTTACTGCTTTACTTTCACACTCTGTGTCGTTCTCTCGCTCAACCTCCCTGCCACCCTCCCACAACACTAACCCACTCTCCATCATTATTACTGTTGCTATGGAAACCGCAATACTCAGCGGGCCAGTGTATTTTTCAGGAGCGGTGAGACAACACACAACCAAAACAAATCAGCTGGGACATGTTTGTGGTTGACTCACTGCTTCTCCTTTCTGCTTACTGTGGGTCAGGAATCATGGAGGACATGACAATGACATGTTAACAGACGCATGATGATGCCTGGACATTAGGTTTAACACCAGCTGCTTCACTGGAGCAGGGGAAATCTCAGAGTGGTCAAATTGGAGAAAGGTTGAAAACCTGCAGGTGTCCTCAGATCAATTCTTTGTAACAGCCTTGGCTCACAAGGATTTGCTGATTGTCTTTAAGCTTTGTGCCATAGTGCAAATAACACTTCATGTCAGTATGGAGCAGGTCACACACTGACACAGAGCTCTCCACTGTCCATCAGCGCTGAGAGAGGAGCGACCACTCATTCAGGAAACGGATTGATTTTTAAAAAAGCAGAACAATGAGAAGGAGAAGGTGTAAGGACAGAGACAGATTTGATGACATTTGAAAGTCTCATTAAAATATTTGTGGACAGCTGTTGTCACCATGTTAGCTCCTGCAGTTCTCTCCACAGGTGTCACAACAATACTGCTCTGACATTTAAACAACTGATAGAACTCTAGAAGTATGATAACTCTTTGTCATACACTCAGATCATGTTGACTGTTCAAAACTTTGGTAACAACACAGTTTCCTTGCAAGAATCTTGGTTTGTGTTTGGATCTTTGGTCTGAGTTTGATAAACCAACATGGCTCCAAAGTGACTTTTGGACTAATAATGCAGAAATTGTGCAAAAAATGATTTTAAGATTTCCATTGAACATGTAAACATTGCTATTCCAGCTTTGACCTATCCTGGTTTTAATCATATTCAGCATATGACAGGCATGAGATGTGAAACCTGGTTATTTAGCTCCTTGCAAACATGATTCGTGAATCATCTGAACCAATGTAGCGCCGTCTTCTTGGTGGTGTGTGACGTGAAACTTGTAGAAAATGCTCACATGCCACAACTTTTTTCAGAACCAGATGGATGCTCATCTGCATAATTGTATTTACACAAACAGTGTATAAGTAGAACATGTGTTACCTCCTCAGGTCAGGGAGAAAAATGCTGAGCTGATCACTCTGCTGATGAGAGATCCTTTTTAAAACCAGCTCAAAGGTGAGCAGGAAGATATTTCACAGTGGAACCTACGAGTAGGAGATACAATGGCTTTTTGAAAGTATGTGAAAGTCTTGTATGTAAGTGTAGACATTTTTATTTTAATTGTTACCTCCACCAAAGAGACTATGTTTTCACTCACATCTTTTTTTTGGTTTTTTTTTCAGCAGATTTCCACAAAACTATTGAACAGATTTCCTGGTGGAGGGATGGGATTTGAGCCGGGGAAGAACACATTTAATTTTGTAATTTTGGTCCAGATGTTTAATGATGATTGTATAATGATTAGACCGCCTCCTTCTTCTTCTCCTATATCTCGACTACAAAAACTTAACAATCAAATGTAGTATTGTTTAACCCTGACCTCAGAGGTATGTGCCTCTGCTGTGTTCTATTCTACTTCTCTTATTATCTAATGAAAATGAATAAAACCCTTGATTAATGTTTGTCACTGATTTCCAGGTTATATTGACTGCTGAACGATTGTTGCATTTTTAAACTGATTAGTAACAGCAACCTCCTCCAACACAGAGCTGTAAGTCAGGAGCTCCACCAGTGGCTCCTTTATATGACCTGAGGCTAAACACAACTTTGGGCTGATGTGCAGATGTGTACATATCCACCTCTTTTTTCTGTGTTAGATGTTTGTAAAGAGAGCGTTGGACCCAAGAAGGAACATCACCAGCATCCACTCATTAAGAGTAAAAAGCCAGAGTGGGTACCTGGCTGTAACCCCTGACTTCATCTTCCATTTATCAGGATTGGAGATTATTGACCACCAATGTCTGCAGGGATTTGTGCACTTATGTTTAAGACACTTTTCACAGCGAAACACTATCCATGACCCCAGTGACACCAGAGGAGATTAGTTGTGTGGTACTGATATGTGCGTTTGTGAAGTGATATAATGAATTCATCTTACCGTTTCTGAGAATGTGTGTGTATGTGTTGGGTGAGGTTTGGCTGACAGCTGCACACAGATTAAGGCCAAGATTTTCTTGGAGCATCTCTGTACAATGCTAGAACAAACATGAATTGCAAGCAACCAAGTATTTAAGTATTTAAACAGTGCTGTGATCGCTGCTGTGTTTCAGATTTGCTGCAGCAGGCTCTAATGTTGTGTGGGCATTTCATGCTCATAGCCACAGTGTGATGAATCAACCTCTTAGCCCACACTATGACCAGCATTGTGCTCCCTGCAAAACCCAGAGTCCATCCACCCATTAAATGGATGAGGTTCACGGGGGGGTTGGAGTCAATCCAAGCTGAGAGAGAGTGAGAGCAAAATACAGTTATCCTTTCATCTCCGACCCACACACTGACAATTTAGGAAGTTGCAAACTGTCCACAAGGAGGAGCCATTCAGTTGTTATTGGATCAGACTGTTATAAACTTTAGGAGGGAAAGTAACAGCAGCAGTGTAAACCTGCAGATAAAAACATGGGTGATTTCATTTTAAAGATGTCGTTGTGTGCTTATGGAACTTGATGTTACATATTCTTGAGCTCGACGTGGCTGCAGAGCACCAAATGATGCTTCCTCTTTTAAATCATCAGTGAAATGACCTCAGCTTTAATCTTTCTCATACACTTGAACTGTGAAACCACATTTTCTGTAGCAGCTTATCCCATTCACTGGGTCTTTGCCAGTACCCATACATTGCGACTGGAACAGTGAAACATGCGTTCACACACCACCACACAGTCTGTGGTGATTCCCTTATATGAAAAATGGCAAATTTAATGATACTCCTTTGGAGTGGTGTGCACAGTCTCCACAATGGACTGTGTGATGAAGATTTTCTTCAAAACACCATGCTTGTGGTACAGATGAGACTGCAGAGGCTGAATATTTCTACATTTACGTATATGAGGATTCAAAACAGCAGCAGCAATCATTTCCAACATCTCAGTGTTTATTAGAGACGATACTGTGTTGGTCTTTTTGACATTCATATAAAACAAACAGGAAAAAAGACTGCAGCTTCTGATTAGTCTCTATACCAGCTCTGATGCATGTTCTCTTGTCCTGTGACATTCGTAACATCCTGTCCTCGGATGTAGACGGCTGTGAGAGCGTGTGGGATGAAGTGTGTTTAGAATTCTTTTGTTTTATTAGATGATATCTGAAATGTGATGTTTTATACCAAGGGTGTCGCTCCTCCTGACTGAGAGGCTTCTTTTACACACACAGTCAAACAACCCAAATTAGGTTTTAGAGCTCTGGTCCCGAGCTGTGCCTCATGATCAGATCATAACACAATCAATGTCAACAGCTGTAACTGTTTATTTGGACAACACTGTCCAAGTAGGTTACCATCATCCATAATTTGACATGTACAAATAACTGCATTGGTTGTGGTTAGTGTGTTAGTTGAATTATGCAGAAAATTTGTCAAGTCTGGGAAAATAACCGTCATGGTGTAATAACACGGTAATCTCAGTTTGAAGACTATATACAGAAAATTGGACTCATTCATTTGAGAGTGTAGCTACTTATTAGGCAGAAAATGTCCAGAAATAAGATGCATCAAGGGCAATGAAGAACTTAGTGTATTTGAGCTTTTTGAGATAACTCAGCCTTTGCTGCTTCATTTTGACCAATTTTAAATCAGTTCGTCTCTTGTGAGTCCCTTAACAACCAGAATAGCAAACAGGTAACCTTGGTCTCTAAAAGTTTAATTTCCATGAAATGGATAATTTCTATTGATTAATATTGGTCCTCATCAGTAAAAACATGGATCGAAAGGAAAATTCATCCACACATAAGCTGTGTAAATACTTATAATATCTTTGTGTCTGATTGATCTTGTCCCCTCAGCTTGGTGTGTGTAATGACTCGTAAAATTGCAGTACCCATGAGCATCAGCAGTCATTGTAAGGGAGAAGTCTCTAGTCAGAGCCATGAAATTAGAGGACAGAGCACTGCTGAAAGATTTATCCTGACACTGTATACTCAACGTAAATAAAACATCTTTTTCACAGAAGCCATTCTGACCTGAAATGGTAGGTGTTACTAATCACATTAAATAAGACTATCTAACTAAAACAGTCTTCATTAATATGATGAGTAACATTGTGTTTATCTGCACTTTCAAGTCAAAATAGCTTCTGTAAAAAAAGGTCTATACCTCTCACTACATAATAAAGAGCTGAGGTCAAACCTGAACTTTCACTCTGGTCCTGAAGTATGAAAACGTCAACCATAATCCCACTGAAAAAACTCAAGTAACTGACAAGTTCTACGATAACATTTACTCAGCACAGTATGCTGTGTACTTCACTCGTTTTATTAAAAAATGGATGGTATCTAGGTTAAAAGCAAGAATGTAAGCGATCTTAAATTAAAGCTGGAGAATGTCACATTGCTACGGTGAAGTAGAGTTTAGAAGTTGCTCACTGACAGATGATAGTGAGGGCACAGCCTGAACCGAATATGGGCTTCACATCTGTACCGAACCAAAAACTGGTATTTACATTGCCCTGTCATAGCAACTTAACCATTTTAATATGTCTCACACTGAAACGGTGAGGATAGAAGGACACAGCAGACAGACTGTCTGTCACTTTTCCACCTTTCCTCCAAACCAAACATATACAATTGAGATTGAAAATGAACTGCTTTACAATCATTCTCTTGGAGAAATGAGACGTGCGCGTGTCTGTGTGTTTGTGCATGTTAGTCCTGCGTCCTCTCATACACTCCACATTTGCATGGTCTCACTCTGTGAGTTTCTATCCTCACATTAAGGCGATCTAATCTGTTGATTATGCCTCCAAACCTTCTGGCCATCAAGTCCTCTGGATCCACAGAAAACTGATGTGTGCAATGTCAGCCCTCACTCTTCCCAAGCACAACATGAGGTTGACCGCTGCCTAGTGCTCGCACAAGGTTGGCAACAAATCAGGAGTTGGGGGTTGGGAGTCCAATGGGATCCTTCTCCAACAGGGACCAACACTTTCGTGGTGCACACAGGAGCATCAGAAACATCAGCTAAAACCTTGCAGCTCTTTTAGTGTGTGCGGCTGTAGATTCCAGATTAGGTAGTCCAGTCTAATCCAGAGCCAAGTGTTGGCTCATCCACAGACTCTAGTCCCGGTTTCTGTGCGATGTGTCTGTCTGCGAGCTCCTGGCCTCAGCTCCAGCTGGTGCTCTGGAGTTCTTGGCGGAGCCAGGACGGCAGCGGTTGGCCCAGTCGATTCAGCAGGCGTAGCAGCTCCATGTTATGCTCTCGATAGTACTCTGCCAAAAAGGCACGTGACTGTGCACGTGCACACACACACAGATAGATATAAAGGTCAGATGAGGAGAACGTTACGTAAAATAATCTGATAAAATGTACAGATGTGCAATGATTGTGTTGTTGATGTGAGCAGTGTTTCTTCTAATTACTCATCTCATCAAATCCAGCAGTTCCCTATTGACGATGTGAACATTTAATAAAGCCTTACAGATGTATACTGTAGTTTCATTCAAAACTGCTGGATGATATCACTTTAACTTAAAAAATTGTTAACAGGAAGAAGTAGTGCGTGCAGTGGTGCCCCACTTAAAGTGGTGCTGCAGCAACATTTGTTTGAACATTTTATATCATAAACTATTAAACTACTCTACTCACAATTAGTGTTGGTGACACCATTGAAGTCACTGCATTCCTATATCTCAGCTATTCAATTGGCATGTATGTTGTATGATGTTACTGACAGAGCAGATGGCAAGAGCTGATGTGTAAAGAGAGAGTGAGGCACTGTGATGAGAGTATGAAGTGTAGACACACCTCAGAACTCATCTCTGGGTATTTCCTGCCTTTACTCTTCCCCAGACATTTGGCTCGACCTCCTTCCACCCTCTGACACCAGAAACCTTTGCTGTCATCATACCTGCAGACACAAAGTATGTTACAGGCCAACACTTCTTGCGCCTGGTACATGGAAACAATGCTGGGTTGCTTTCTCTGTTACGCTTTTTTCTGCTCTTAACATATTCTCTACGTAAGCATTTGTGTGAGTGTGTTACTAACATTAGAGCCTGGGTGTAGTTGAAGATGGGAGTGACACCAAGGAATCTCTGGATTCCCTCCATCACTAGTGCTGGGTTGGACCGCAGGAGGGCCCCATCCACGATGTGCACCTAATACACAACACACAAACAAACAAACACACAGTCATCCATGAATCAAAACTGATCATATCAGTCAGCCTCTTCTCTGTGGCAACATCAACAGGAAGTGAATCCATTATAGGTTTCTCTGAGTCATTGAACTGACACACATTCTGCAGGTCCCTGTACTTTATGACGAACATGAGCTAGTTTTAGTACAAAGACGTTTGGTGTGAACGCAGCACGACTGTGCTGAATGGTGTCTACCAGAGGTCATGAATGTAAAACAGTTTAACCCATTCTGGTTCATCAGAAAAGCAGCCCACAATAGCTGCTTTCAGATATGCACTGTACTCCGGAGATTCTCCACATATTTCGCTGGAGGGGGTGTATGCCAAACGCAAATGTCCGAAAGAGAGCCTCCAGACCTGCTGTGGATTTTCTCCGCCTGGCCCACTAATCTACAGAAAGTCTGCATAAATCGATGTGAGAACACACAAGGGGATCCCCTGCTGGATCGCCCCAAACAAGTGGGGGGTTGATGACACCTCTATCACGTGACATGACAGACGCAAAAAAATGAATATACAAAAATAATATAAATATCTCAGATGAAGATGCTGATAAGAGCTGACGCTAGTATAATAAATACGGAATAAATACAAGTTCCTGCCTCTGTGTGCTGCACCATCACTCGCCTGAATCATGCAGTTGATTTGTTGCTGTTGTGAACACGTCATTATGCATGTGTGATAGGAAAACTGTGGATAAAGTCTGGAACCCAATTCTCCAAATGTCATGTCTGAAAAAGGCTTGTATCATCTGGACTGTTACATCTCTAACTGGACATTAGAGAGCCACAACAGATATATGAAGTCATAAATGTAAAGTTCTAGTTCTTGCACAGGTATGTTGTAATTAAGAGAAATTTCAGTTAGTCAACTCTTAGTTTAAACATGTTGCAGTACAGACTGATTTATTGTCAGCAGTATGATGACTTATTTCAGAAGGATAATTAGTGAGGAGAGATCAATATCATAGCAGTGATCAATATCATAGCAGTTTTTTTTCACCCTACGTGCATTCAGTGTGCCGCTGCTGAATTATGACCGCCACTGCTGAGCACCCTTTTTTTTTTTCATTTTGATAAATTGCGCATTGTGTTTCCATGCGTGTTAATTTACATAAGAATGTCACAGATATTTAGAGAGTTCTGCCACTTCTCTCTGTGTATGAGAGCGAGTCAGAATTTGCACTCACAGTGAAGTGAAAGTGAAAACATTTTGGGTTTAAACTGGATGAAAGAGAAGAACGCACACACATTTTATGTTGAGACTGTTTACTGTACACTATAACTAATAACAGTTACTAATGACAGTATAACTGTTAAAACTGTCCAAGTCTGGAGGGAAGAGTCCACTCCACTGCTGCAGGACTGTTTTGAAAACACAAACTGGGACTTGTTTGCGCAGAGCACAGACCTGGAGGAATACAGTTCATCTGTCCTGGCTTACATAGCCTTCTGTACTGAGACCGTGCTCACCACCAAAACCATCAAGGTGTTCCCAAACCAGAAACCATGGCTGGACAGGAATGTACGGACTCAGCTAAGAGCACAAGATGCTGCCTACAGGTCAGGACTCAGGAGACAGTCTGGCTTACAGTAATGCCCACAGAGAACTAAAGAAGGGCATCAAAGAGGCCAAAAGCAGATACCAGCAGTGTATCGAAAACAACGACCCCCACAGCATGTGGAGAGGCATTAAAGTCTTGACGGAATACAAGAACATCACCTCACAGACCAGCCATGACACCAAGCATCCTAATGTCCTGAACCAGTTCTATGCTTGTTTTAAAACAAACTTTCAGAAACCTGACGACTATCACCTACCGGGGAAACAGATCTACAGAGGATGCTGTCTCAATAGCAGTTCATACATCCCTGTCCCATCTGGAGCATTGCAATACATACGCCATGAGTTATTTGGTGATTTTAGCTCCGCATTCAACACAATAGTCCGCCACAAACTGGTCAACTCAACTCAAAAACCTTGGACTATCCACCACACTCTGCTCATGGATTATGGACTTCCTCACAAACAGACCACAAACCGTCAGAATGGGCAACCACACATCCTCCACCATCATCCTGAACACAGGAGCAACACAGGAGCACCGCAGTGCTGTGTGCTCAGTCCTGCTCTCTTCACCCTGTTCACTCATGACTGTACACCCCTCCACTCCTCTAACACCATAGTGAAGTTTGCTGATGACACCACTATAGTAGGACTGATCTCAGACAATGAGGAGGTGCACTACAGAGAGGAAGTACAACATCTGGTTGAGTGGTGCACTGAAAATAACCTGGTCCTCAACACTTCAAAAAGAGAGATCATCATGGATTTTAGGAGAACCAGGAAGACCACACCTCCCCCTCTCCACATAAACGGTGAGGAGAGACTTAGCCCGAATATTCAAGACAGCATAGAGGATTGTGGGAACCAAGCTACCGACTCTGGACACGGTATATGCTAGCCGTCTACACACAAAGGCTAGCAAATTCAGCAAGGACCCAACCCACTCAGGCCACAGTCTGTTTGTCCCCCTGCCATCGGGGAGAAGGTACACATACGCGCACGCACGTGCATCGATGCATTCGACTGCATATCAATCAGTCCGCGCATTGTGTTAAGAGCTGTGGTGTGTTACCTGGTTGGGTTGATAGTGTTGCAGCCAGCGCTCCAGGTGAGTAGCATAGGCCCCAGGGTTAAGGCAGCGTCTCTGAAGGGCCAGCAGATCCTTAGGGGCCGAGGGGCTTGCTGTCACCACTAAATGGAAAGTGTTGTTGAGGGCTGCAGGGTCCTGGTGGGCCCTCTGGTGCTGTGGTCATTAAAACACGAAGACATACACAATCCTGATAGTTAAGATGGTTGTAACTGCCACAAGGAAGTCACATGGTGTGTCCTGTATGTGTGCACAGTTTTGCCAGCACTGGATAATGTTACAGCGATGTGCTGTGTGATAGTTTCTCACCTGGTACCAGGAGTAAGCCCTGTCTGATGGGTTGATGAGCACGGACAGAATTTTGGCTCTGGGTAGCAGGGCAGCAGCTCTCTTAGGAGCCACGTCTGTGTCAAAGTAATTAGCACTCTTCTCAAACATGAAATCTGTGCTGACATTAGAAGGGAATGGGAAGAAGTCCATGTACCTGAGAAGAAGGGAAATGAAACAAGTAGTTTTTAGCTCATGTCTAAAAAGTGTTCACATCCCTGAACTCTTTTATTATATGTATTATGCTCTCATTATAATCCTAATCAATTTGTTAACTCATTGATGAAAGAGATGACATGTCTGAGCTGGTAAAACCCGGCACAAGTATATGGATGCATATGTAAAGTCTGCATGTGGTAAAGACCTTGGGCAGCAGCAATAGCTCAGCTCAGGCTTTGAAAAACATATTGACACAGATTCTGGATTTCAGTCCTGAATCCTCCCTTAAGCTTTCTCATTGCAGTTGTTTTTTTTTCCATTTTCAGTCATCAGTGGTTATTTTTGTCCTGTCAGTCACATGTAAGAATATTTCTGTTGTTGAGTCCCTATACACCTAATGCCCCTACTCTTCACACTTCTAGTGTGACTGAATGTTGAAGCCTTCCTGAAAGCAGTGCACAGAATTTGGCTGTGTAGTCTTTACCAGTCAATCCCGTTGTCATAATTTGCTCCACTGAAGAACTGGATCTCCTCGTAGGTGGTGGGACTTGGGAAGGAACTAGTGATAGCTGGGTGGAGGCTTAGGAATGAATGAAGCGCTGTAGTGCCTTTGAATAAAGACAACACATTTATACTAGAGAGAGACATATACAGACAAAAATTAAGAGGAAAACTGAGGAAGAGAGAGAGGTACCTGTTTTTTGTGGTCCAATGACAAGGAACTTGGGGAGTCGGTCACAGGTCTTCTCTTTAGACCAGATATCTTTGTGTCTCTTGTCATGACAAGGGTTCTAAATACAGGAGAGCAAAATTTTCAACACTTCCAGAGCTTTTCATAAACTTGCAGCGGGCAAATAGCTGAGTACACATTGAAGTATAACTTTAATAGCAAATTTCCTCAAATAATGAAAAGGGCCTTTATTTAGTTCAACTAAAGAAGGTAAGCTGGTATTGGAGAAAAAACGTTATTACTAAAGCCCTGTGTACCAAGAAGATAAATCAAAGGTCTCTGTCTGTAGTCTAACTGATTATGTTTATTTTTGTAACTTATACTGCATTAGTCAAACAAGCCCTTCCCTCTACACTAGCTTTACCCACAAATAAGATGCTTTCAGACATCTACTGAACTGAAGGAGGTGTATGGGTGAACGCAAATGTCAGAGCCTCTGGAGTTGAAGGGGGATGGGGGTTGTTCACCAGAGTGTGACGGATGAATAGACAACCTGAAAACATAATGCCTCTGGCCACAGTTGTTGCATGCATAACAACTGTACACATGCACCTGCCTGAAAAATATGATCAGTAAATCTGTATACCAACCTGCCAGAGTGGATCTCTCTCCTCAGGAAAGATCTGAAAGTATTTTTCAGCGAGCTGGACGGGAGGCAGTGTCTGCAGCTTGAGGTTAGTCCAACACTGGACAAACTTTACTAAAGACTCAAAGGTGTAGAGACCCAGTCGGTCATTGCCATAATTAGACAGGTGGGTCATGAAGATACTGATCTGGAATGAGAGGGCACAATGTTCTTACAAAGTTAGTTTCAACTTAAAACAATTAAATAATAATAATTAAAACAAGCAGTTACGAAATGATAGAGGGTATTAGATTTACAAGCTGTAAAGCTGTGAGGGGGCTTGGTGGGCCTATCAAAAGGGCAAGGGTATTCTCACAGCTAATAATAATGACTGTATTTGTATAGCACTTATCTAAACAAAGTGACAAAGTGCTTCACAAGAAAAATAATAAAATCCATGTTTAGAAGAAGAATAAATTATAATAGTTATTCAATTTAGTTAAATTTTTTGGGCCAGCAGTTTAATCATCACATTTGAGCTCTGTAAGACTGTTTGTTGTAATGTAAATAATATCTTCAATTGTAGATTGGTGTCATCAAGTGTTTTAGCCTATTAATCACAATAACGTTGAGAGAGGCTAAAGGTAAATCTGGCTACTGGCTTGTATGGCAGTGCTTTGAAAGCCATGTGGCCCGCTCAGTAGATCAGACGTCATTACCTCTGTACCTTTTTTATTCTATTTATTTATGTATTTATTTTTAAACTAGATTCAACTAAATACCTACTCTCATAGGTGGCAGAGTCAGAAGCTGTCATATTAAACCCAACAATTCCCACAATGAGCAAGCCGTTTGGCTACTGTGGAGAGGAAAAACTCCCTCTTTAACTGGGAGAAACCTCAGGCAGAACCAGATTCAGTGTGGGCGTCCATCTGCCTCGACTGGTTGGGGTGAGCGGAGAAAAATGGGGAAAGAGAAGGTGGGTGGCAATGAGGGAGAAGAATAGAGGGAGAGATGGGGTGGTGGGGTCAGGAGAAGGGAGAGGGACCTCAAGAACATCATACATGAACTCTATAAGTCTGATTATTCTAGTGAAAGTAATTACAGGTCGCATGTTAGGAATGCTTTCCTGTAAAAATACATTTTGAGCAGTGATTTAAAGATCAGTAGTGAGTTTGTGAGCCTAATCTCATCTGGCAGGGAGTTCCAGAGCCTCAGGGCCCTGACAGAAAACGCCCGGTCACCTTAGGTGGCCAGCCTTGACCTGGGGACAGCCAACAGGGACAGGCTGGCTGATCTCAGGTTATGACCCGGATTATAATGAGTCAAGATCTGCGAAATGGAGGTTGGGGCCAGTCCATGTTGGGCTTTAGAAGTTATTAAAAGAATCTTAAACTCAATCCTGAATTTAAATGGTAACCGATGAAGGGATGCAAGAACTGGTGTGATATGAGCCCTCTAGTTTGTATTTGTTAAAATATGAGCAGCAGTGTTTTGAACAAGCTGCAAACTAGTTACCAGGGTTTGGCTGAGGCATGTATACAGGTGTTGCAATAATCCAGGTGGGAGAAAACAAAGGCATGTATTACCTTTTCTAAATCAGAGAGGGATAGAACCGATTTGATTTTAGAAATGTTTCGTAGATGGAAGTAGCAAGATTTAATGATTTTATTAAAGTGTTTTGAAGTTTAGATGGGATTGAATGTGACGCCCAGGTTTTTAGCTGTTATGTATATACATTTTATTATTCTCAGACACATCTAGCAGTTGGGTCAGAACCACCTTTTCAAGGATTTGGGATATGAAAGGAGGTTTTGAAATGGGCCTTTCACAGTTGGTATGTAGAGTGGCCAGAAGGGCAGAAGGAGCAGGGTTTATAAGTCTATTGATGGTTTTAAAAAGAAATCTGGAAAATATGGTGATTACTAGTGATTAGTTTGGAGAAATAGTTAGCTCTTGCAGTTTTACTTTTGTTATTATAAGAAGTTAAGAGGTCTTTCATATGTAAGTAGTGGACAGAGTTTTGTCTTTTTCCACTTCCTTGGTTTTTCTGCACAGCCTTCTAAGTTCTCTTAGCCTGTCATCAACCCATGGAGAGGTGTTAACAGGGGATTTCATTCTTGTTTTAATGGGGGCTATAATATCCAGTGTGATTTGACAGGTATTATTGAAGCCATTAAGTAGAATATTTGGATCTGATGACTCGTAAGGTCAAGAAGACCAGTGGAAAAGTAAGATGAGAATTTTGAGGCACAATGTTCATTTAAAATGCATGAGCTTTTAGTGGATTTAGATTAATAATAATTATGCACTCAAACATCCACTGTAAGAAAGAGTAAATGCTCACCTGCTGTTTCCCTCCTCTGGTGAAAATCAAGTTGTTAAACATAGCATACCCCCTATTTGCCTGTTATATTATAAGACATATTTTGAGCAACAAGCTGCTGGAATGACACTTTAATAAATAATTGCCTGAAAATATCTACCAGGATTTATTTCCAAAAATCTATTTTTTTGTTCCAATAGGGGGTCTTACAGTAAAGTAACACCACATTTTTATAACAATTAAAAAACAGTCGAAATTTAACTTTAAACCACCAGCACACAGATCAGTTCAGCATGTTGATGGTTTTTAATGTGTTTGTGTGTATGAATAGGGAGTAGTGTTCTTACAGGGTTCAGGAGGACAGTGAGGAAGAGTTCCCCTCCTCTGATGCTCTTGTCCAGCTCCTTCGAGCCACCTGGATATTCATTATAGAAAATCGTATGGGTGAACAGCCCACAGGTCTGCCTGGGCAATACCTAAAACACACAAAATTAATTTTCAGTTTTTGGCATATTTTTTAGTGTGTAAATATTCTTCACCACAGAGCACCACAGGAAGTCATTCCTGCCTGTGGCCATTCAATTATACAACTCCTCCCTCTTAAAAACTCTGAGTCGACAGACTGAAGTCATTACGATGCATATCCATTTGCACTAAATATTCAATGTACAGTACGCACATATTGTATATATTTCATATTTAATCTGATATGCTTATATTTCTACCTATTACCTGGAGCAATTGTAACAACACAATTTCCCCCTCGGATCAATAAAGTATTTCTGATTTCTGATTCACTCTCTGTCTTCTTGACATTTTTAATAACTTGTAACATTTTAGCCACATTCTACAATCATGGCTTAGGCAGCAGTGAGGCATGAGTCAGTAGTTAACTTGGGTTACGACAGTACAATACTGAACCAGGGATGTCTCATGCTGATCTAAAAGGATCAGAACAGTGACACACATTATTTTATCGATTGGTAGAGCTGCATCAAGCCTTATCAAAGTTTGATCAAGCAGTAGGATATCCTCCACTCAGACACATTTACAACGCAGAAATCCGAGTGTTCAGGCAAGGGGTGGCAATGCATGCAGAGGTAGGATGTTGCGCATAAATTCTGCAGCAGAGATCACATGTTTTTGTCTACAGCAAATCGGCACTGGCGTCAGCCCATATAACTTAAAACTCTTGACATCTTCGTCGGTGAAGTGTATATATATTATATTTTGCTTTTTCATCTGAAGATATTTGGTTACTTTTTGTTTGGGCCTTCATTAGAAATGCCATCAACACCCCCACTCGCTCACAGTTAGACATTTCTAGTACAGTGGAAACCGCTTACATTTCTAAAGGAGCTCGTAAAAACTGTAAATTATAACTTTTTGTTTATGCTCCAACCATGTATAAAAAGACCCAAAATAAACACTGTAAGCGGACTTAGCGGAGCTCCGCATGGCTCCATGGATGTCTGCTTGGGCTGTAGCCGGGCTCTGCGCACTCTGGCCTTGGCAGTGGAACTGTCGAGGGTCCCTGGGTCTGTGCCCCGGCTCCGTTCTCTCATCTAAGTACCACCCCCGCCTAATTTCTGGCCAGGAAAAACCCTGAATACAGCCCCACTAGAGAATGCCTTGAGAAAATGAATTTCTGTTTTCATTTATCATATTACATGTGATACTAATACCTATAAGAAAAGTTAACCCATGGTGTCATTACTGATGAGCATGTACTGAACAGCATACTGACCTTGATTCCATTATGGATGAAGCCACGGCGGTATCGAGCTGGCCTAAGATGGGGGTATTCCTCTGTACTGGTCACCTTAATGCTCCACACAGACTTCCAAGCCTCGTAGAGCTGACTGTGAACTGGGTAAACCCCTGAATGGTGTGGAGCCACGGCATAGCCCATATCTGTTGGGATACCATGCTCCTACAGAGTGAGGTGTGGAATGAGGACAGAATGTGGGCCAATGAGGGGGTAGAAAGAGGAACAGGCAAGAAGGAAAAAGAATACATATTGTCAGAAGGAAAAGAGTAGAAAGGAACTGCTGGTATAAATAACAAACAGTGTTGTCTATGACCTGAGAGTATATGAAGAAATGGAGAAGACCTAAACACTCTTTAAAACTGACATTACTGTCATTCCAGTACATAGCATTGCAGTTCCACATGCCTTCAACTATATCTATCAACCACACACACACTGTAACTACAAACTAATTTACTTAATAGTGTAGCAAGAACAATTACATTCTCCTCTCTCTCCCCTTCACACTGCAACAGTGTCCAAATCTTTGTGTATCAGTGCTGCTAACCTGAGCGAAGATCTTGTTGAGCCTCATCTGCTCAGCCAAGACACTGACATTGTGAAAAAGGTGAGGCTGCATGTGGCTCCACATGTGAGGAAACCACCAGAAGTCCATCCTGTGCTGCAGCAGCATGTCATCACCCCGATCCTCCTCATCAGTACCTAGATGCACAAACACACACAGTTCAAAAATAATTAATGTGGTCTGACACGAGATCCAATCACAAGTGAACATCTCATTGAGGCTATATCAACACTGACTGACCGATAATTATTTTATTTTTTAATTGGGAAAAATCTTAAACGTGTCCTTGATGCATTCACACCTGCACTTAGTGGGGTCCATTCGTGTACGAATCATTAAGGACTGTTGTTAATAACAGAAATGTCTGAACAGGGTCAGTGTCAGTATAAAACCATGTTCTTCTACTATCAGTTACAATCACCCCGTCTTAACCTCCAAAGTAACCTTAGGTATCATGTTGAGGTACATTTGATTTTGAAGAGTGAAACCAGCACTGCTGCTGGCAGATACCCTGAGCTGACATATCAAAATCACTCTTAGTAACAATTACACCATAGCTTTCATACATGTATGTTGTTAGTCCCACTGTTAACATGTTTTATTAAAGAAAGGTTTTATTGAAGTAGTAAATATGAGGTGATGGTAAATATTCCTGTATTAGCCAAGAGTCCAGTTAATGCTATGCTAACTACACACACACACACACACGCACGCCCAGTACATAAATCTTTCACTGCTTACGCTACAGCCAGGCATTCTTCCTCCTGTTTCTTACATTTCCAACTCCTAATACCCCTTCAACTGCTTCTTCATTAACATTCAAGGCAGCATTGCAGGTTTGCTTAAATTTTTCCAGAAGCCAACAATCCCACTAGCTTCTAGCTAGCAAGCTTCTACAGGTTATGTCTACAACCCTACCCACGTTATTTCCTGTCCGCCTCTTGCTTTTGGCCAGACCAAATGAGCACATTTCTCCCAGCAGATTTTGGTTTTCGTGAGAGGGAGGGATTGGATTAGTGGGGTGATTTGATTCAAATTCTCATGTTAGAGCTGGCTTGATCTGGAGAACTGGCATATTGTGTCTTAAAATAAATAAAAAAATAATGTTTTACACTTTACAGATACAAAGACACACAGGGGTCTTATAAGAGGATATTTCAAACAGAAAGCTTTGTTTATACAGTAACATCTGATATTGCATACCTGTGTGATAAAACTTTCCAGAAAAACCCAAGTTGAAAGTAAAATTAGGAACCAGTGCTCTCAGTTTGTTTTGAGTGTTGAGTAACGCCTGTGAAGAAAACACAATGACAACATGAGGTGTTTGCTTAGTTATTTATAAAAGCTTAATAAATGATATTATAGTTTTTTTCTATTCTATCTAAATATTATTAAGGTTGACAAGGTTCACCCACCTCCACATCTGACACCTTCATACGGGTTCCCTCCTTGCCGACAAAGATATCATCCACATCCACCAAGATGTGGCGGTCCAAGGACAAACATAGTCTCTTCCCTGTCAGGTAGGCGATGGCATCTACAAACACGAGCTTGTGGAGCCAATAGTTGAGATTGTTCCCGAAGAGAACTCTTTGAATGCCATCATGTAGCCCTAAGTCCTGGACCACTGTCGCATGGAGGGCCCGCAGGTGGCTGGGTCCAAAATTTGCCATGGCCTCAGAGGACTTGGTGCTGGCCAGAAGTACTGGTTCATAAGTAGAGTGGTTGGACTGGAAAATTGTCCAGTCATCTCCTGGTAAAGAGCCCTGCTCCATCTGATTTGGCTTGGTAATGTAGAGTAGAGGAGCACTGGGATTGATGCGGTAGTCCCTGAGTCCAAGATGCGAGTGTAGAAAGAGGGGAAACCCTTTAAGCTGTGCACTGAGAAGAGAGTTTTCATTAGCTTTGAAGAAGCCAATGACACCTACTCCATACTCAGCACAATACTTGTCCAGTAAGTCACGGTTCCATGCATCCAGATTGACATATTTCAACACATTTTCATAGATGATAAGTGTGTAACGTCCACGGTTATGCTCTGTCAATGTGGGCATGTCACCTTTACCAGGAGCAATCTCTGTCCGGTAGTGGAAGCGGCTGGACTCTAATATGGCTACAATCTCCTGGCCAAGCTGAGAGTAGATGCTCTCTACAAAGACCAGAACAACAGGCTCTGTCCTGGAATTGTCCACTGCTTTCACCTGTCGCAGTCGGCCCTGATGCACAGGAATGAAAAGTGGTGCCCTCTGCACACCTGGCCCTCCTTCATCAGCCCCAGTACTAGTTCCCGGTGACATCCCTCCTTCTCCACCACAATCACTAAAGGGTAAAGGGGGAGCTTCCTTGATTTTGGGGCTGTTTGAGACATAGTAAGCTAAGAAGGCCATGGACAGCAAGCAGAAGATGATTAGTGCCAGGATGAGGCGGTGAAGCTCCAGCTGGCGGACTCCTCGCATTAATTTCCACACACCCAAGCCTGCACCTACCATGATGTTGGAAAGGGGAGGCAGGACAGGGCAGCAAGCAGCAGCGGAGAACAGGCAAAGAGGGCAGAGAGGTGGAGTAGGGGTGAGAGGAAGGGGGAGTGGAGCAGGAAGATCGAGCTGTAGATACTGGCACTAAGCTGTGCTGGGGAATAGCCATTTACACTAGGTCACCATGGCCAGCATCATCCATTACCTGCTCTACACTTCAAGCTCTGCAAGACTAAAACACTCATGGATGACTGAAAGGAAGAAGGGAGAAGACAGGTGATTATATGATGGACGGAATAACAAATATTGGGAGATCCAAGAGGGAGAAATAGAATTTGTTTGAATAGTGAACACCAACACAGGAGATCTCTGTCTTGAATATCTATCGAGTTTAGCCCAAGGTTTTTGTTCCTGGGTCAGTCCCCCCTTCAAACAGTTGTGCAGGTGACTCTACATGCGGGTGCATCTCTCTGTAGAGTAGTTTGTAGCTTGTGTAGTGTCTCAGCAGAGGATGTGTCTGTGCTGGCGGTCAGTGCATCGGGGTGGGACCCCATTATGCCACCTTGCCTGAACATCCCAGAAGAAACTCCTAGAGGAGAGGAGAGGAGTGGAGAAGGGCAAGGTGAAGGGACAGAAGGACAAGAGGGAAGAAATAAGTTTTCCATCCACATACATTTCTCATAGCATCTGTAAACTTGTGACCCGTCCAGTCAAGGTAATATTCTACAAAAACCCACAAACAAAAGACAAACAAACAAACATCAGACTTGTGCTTTTGGAGAAAGAACCAATTCATTTAGGTACTGGACTAAATCTTGTTGTAGATCATACACTTGTTGAAGATATACTTGTTTATACAGTTTGAGCAAAAAATTATTTAACTCATTTACACTAGTTTTTAAGTTATTTGTCGTTAACAAAAAAATCAAATTCAGATATTTACTATACAGAGGACAAAGTATTCACAGTGTGGTCCAGCATTTAACTAACTAAATTTATAAAACATGTAAGGAAACATAATAAAAGGCAATATGGCAACACAAAGAATGCGATCTAAAATTACTATTACCACTATCTACAGAGAACATAAATTCAGCTTTAACTGAATCAGACATCTAAGTGTACTTTATTACAGGATCTTTATCGGACAAGGTTCTCTGATCAGATGTGTTCACACCAGCAACAAATCCTTTGCAGGATTCAGGTAAGGGGTGGAGCAGCAGGCGGAGGCAGGACGTAACATATTAATTCCGCTGCAGAGATCAAATGACTTTGTTTACAACACATCATCACCGGCGTCATGTGTGTCACCGCATTTTCATCTGGAGATATTTCTTCTTTTTGTTAATTTGATTTTTGTGTCTGTTGCATGTTGCAAGCTTAATCAACCCCCCACTCACAGTGAACCCAGTGGGGGACCTCCTACTGTGTTCTTAAATCAACTTCTACTCACTTTAGGGGGCCAGGCAGACAAAGTCCGCAGTAAACTTCAGGGGCTCTCACTCAGAAATTATTATTATTCTGCTAGAGGTTTCTCCCTGTTAATGAGGGAGTTTTTTTCTCTTCACAGTCGCCAAAGTGCTGCTCATTGTGGGAACTGTTGGGTTTCTCTCAAATGTTAAGGTCTCTACCTTCTTTCTAAAGCGCCTTGAGATAATGTATATTATGATTTGTCACTATATACATAAAATTGAATTTCACTATAAAAGGACAACAGAATTGCAATACACCAATCTGCTACCACCACTGCAAGTGCAGCCTGTTGAGCTGTCATTACTTAACTTATGTAACAAAACTAATGTTTCATTGTATAGTTATCACTATAACACATGTGAATCAAATTATGCCCCCCTCCCTTCCTGGCAAATTCACATTCAGTCAGCTGCACGGGGGGAAAAAAACAAGGTATGGTATTAACCATGGATTTGTAGAATTATGACTCCCCTACTTAAAACACAGCCACTGTGTGAAACAACACAAAATTATGGAAAAGTATTATAATAGACAAACCGCTTTGGAAACACAACTAATCATGGAAAATGTCCCTAAGTCATGACAGTCTACAGCCTCAAAATGACCAGTCAACAATCTAACTTTTCCAAAAGCTGATTTTTCAAACATCGCAGTTGGCACTTATTTTTGCAGGGCTGTAACAATAGACTGTTCTTATCATTTTACCCAGGTTCTGTGCATGAGAAGATTCTCTGACACACAGCATCCAAACACCACGAAGAGTACCAAGTAGAACATTTTAATATACACCCAGCCACTCCCTGTCTGAGGATTACTAGTGCTGCATAATGAAATTCCATACAGAGACAGTCAGATGGCTTGAAGGTGAGGTAGATGAGGGGGAGGAACAGATAATAAATTTATTGTGGGAGGCTGAAAAAGCAGTGTGGGGAGTCTGTGGTCATAATGAGCAGTTGCTGTTTAATGGATTGCTGATTCAAGCTGAACACTCCATTGGGATCCCCAAAGACCAGTCAGCAGCATAAACCCTGGGAACCACTACAGAGCAGGCAGTTCAGAGGTCTTGAACAGCCACAGTTTTATGGAGACCTGGACATTAGTTATAGTGAATACCAAGTGGAGCAAAATGGGTAGATCCTATAGGGAGCATTAATTGTTAATCAATTATCATGGTAAACACTGTATTAGCATACACTGTGTGATGTAATAATGAAAACAGGGATCTGAGGGTTGAAAGGTTAAAGAAGCATCACAGTCACGCTGCATAGCTTCATCTCTGCCTGTAGTCAAAGTTTCAGTAGAGCTGGACGGTGCGGCTTCACAAGACAAATGAAAGAAAACGAGTCTAGTAACACCTTTGTTGCATTAGCTTATTAGACAGTGTTCAGGTAGGCGGGTGGGCTAATATCACTGGTGTTAAATGATTTTTAAGAACCAATACAAGTCTTTGTCTTTCACTCCAACATTCTGTCGGAATTTAGAACTTTTCAGACTTTCACAATTCTTTTACCCTTGACATCATAAACTGAGAATATGTTAAGTGTAAAATGTAAGAGAAACAGATGCCTTCCTTGTTATCTAGTAAATGCAGTGTTCCCCATTAATTACCTAGACAGTGGCAGCCCACTTAGTCTAATTTGTCCAACCATAGCTTCATAATGAACCAAAAATGTTAAGACACCTCATATAATAACATATAAGCTCTCCAACTTTGCGGTTTGTGCAGTCTAACCTGTCACTCGCCTTTATTTGACAGGAGAGAGTAGCAAAGGGCCAAATTGGAACTGAACTTGCAGCCACTTCTGGGGGACTCAAACATATTTCATTAAAAAAATTATTCATTTAACAAAATATTGTTGCCATTATCTCAAGCAACACCAATACTTTAACAATGTTGCAATGGTTTACTGAGTTTTCTGCACCACAGAAACAGTGAGACATTGGAGGAGGGAAGGGTAATGTCCACTTGTCTGGCCACTGAGACATGGACTAGACATGCTACCTAGTGGACCAATCAAAATGTTGCCATTGGCGTTAGCACAGCCTAAGTTACATGTCTACAGAGGTGCACGTCAGACTACAGCATAGAGGACAAGTCTACGCCCAACCTACACCATATATACTGTGTCGATTTAACACAGATGTATAGACTGGCTTCAGGTTAAATTGACAAGTGTGTCTATGAACTCTGTGATTAATTAGCTGTGCTTGTCTGCAATAATGAGCAAAAATACACACTAGTCAAGTGACAGTAAGCTTTCTGCAGCTGTGCCATTTTTTAAGTATATAAGAAACTTGGTTTCTCTGATTTGGATAGGGGATAAGAAACCTCACTTGGGTTTCTTGTGTGTATATAATGAAAGCTAATATCACCCCACAAATAAAGGGACTAACATATTTAACACAATGTAATGTATGATCCGACTTCCATTTCACCAGGACATCCAGAGCACAAATTTTACTTAGCAATTGTTTCTGCCATGTTGTGGTTAAAAGTTAACCCCCTTAGATGTCTGAGTGCATTTAATTATGTGTAAAGTCAATGAAAGAGATAAATGTGTGGACTCACCTGGTCGGGCTTTCACTCTACTGTCACTGCACCTTCAGCTCAACATTGCTGGTAACACCTGAGAAATGAAAAGAATATAAAGAAGGAGTGGTTTAGCAAACTAGATAGATGGTTGCCTAGGTTGAACAAGACACCAATATCCCCTGGTTTGGCACTACCATCACTGAAGAGCACTACTCACAGATTCTACTCCATTGAAAGCTTTGACTCTTTTGGAACCGTTTTGAGTACTATAAAGCCATCAGACATTTCCTGCAGAGGATCTCGGGAGCATTGGGTCTGGACAAAGTGCTTGCTCATTGTGGGAACTGTTGGGTTTCTTTATATTAATACGATTTTAACGTCTTGACCTTCTATGTAAAGTGCCTTGAGATAATGTATATTATGATTTGGCGCTATACAAATAAAAATGAATTGAATTGGACACACATGCACAACGCAGCAGTTGGTTCTATGATCAGATGTGTTCACACCAGCAACAAATCCTTTGCAGGATTCAGGTAAGGGGTGGAGCAGCAGGTGGAGGCAGGACGTAACATATTAATTCCGCTGCAGAGATCAAATGATTTTGTTTACAACACATCATCACCGGCGTCAGCATTTATGACTACAAACTCTCTTTTGACATATTCATTAGTGTGTTCTATGTGTGTCACCGCATTTTCATCTGGAGATATTTCTTCTTTTTGTTAATTTGATTTTTGTGTCTGTTGCATGTTAGAAGCGTAAATAACCCCCCACTCACAGTGAACCCAGTGGGGGATCTCCTACTGTGTTCTTAAATCAACTTCTACTCACTTTAGGGAGCCAGGCAGACAAAGTCTGCAGTAAACTTCAGGGGCTCTCAATTTATTAGAAATTAGCATTCACATACTGTATATACAAACACAGGCTCTCTTGTGGTTCCAAGAGTCTGTAAGAGTACAGGAGGTAGAGCATTCAGCTACCAGGCTCCTCTCCTATGGAACCAGCTCCCACTCTGGGTTCAGGAGGCAGACACCATCTCTGCATATAAAGTTAAACTTAAAACGTTCCTTTTTGATAAAGCCTATAGTTAGTTCTGGATCAGGTGAGTCCTGAACCATCCCTTAGTTATGCTGCTATAGGCCTAGACTGCTGAGCACTCCACTTCTCTCTGTCTCTTGGCCCCCCCACATTCATTTATATATTTTTATACATGTCAATACCTATGTTTCTTTTTCTCATAGTCCCTTTCTCTCTTTCTCTCTCTTATTGCAGGTATCTCTGACTCCAGAACTGCCGGAAAACAACTATTATTATTAGTATTAACAATACTTATTAAGAAGTTAGTTATTATTAATGATAGCAGCAACAATTCATATAATTATTAATTACTATCATTAATAATAACTAACTTCTTTACACTGTTATTGTTTTCATTTTAACTAATCAGAGCTGATACCTGATGGTGCACAAGTGTTCCCGGTCTCTCTCACCTCTCTCCCACTCCCCACTATCTCTCTCTTCTGTCCCCTATTTTCCACCCATCTCCCCTCTCCTCCCCATTTTTCTCTGCTCACACCAACCGGTCGAGGCAGATGATCGCCCACATTGAGCCTGGTTCTAGAGGTTTCTCCCTGTTAATGAGGGAGTTTTTCTCTCCACAGTCACCAAAGTGCTGCTCATTGTGGGAACTGTTGGGTTTCTCTATATTAATAAGATTTTAAGGTCTTGACCTTCTATGTAAAGTGCCTAGAGATAATGTATATTATGATTTAGCAATATACAAATAAAATTGATGTGAATATACACCTCCTCCAGAGAGGATCTCCAGAGTTCAGTACATGTCTGAAAGGAGTTAGATAGAGTCAGAGAGATATATACACATAAGAATAGACCATCGTGAGAAAATCAATGTGGTGATTAGTGTTAATATTGGAGCCTCAAATAAAATGATGTATGTAAAACACTGAGTCCTTCAATGTAGTTAACACCAGGTGTGAACAGAGCGTCAGATGCTGTCTAGTCGACATATTCATCAGTGTGTGTGTGTGTGTGTGTGTGTGTGCTTGAGTGTGTGTGTAAGAGAGTGAGAGCAGCATCAAGGTCATGTCTGACAACAGCTTTTATGACTACTCTTTGGTGACTTTACACAATAAATATATTTGTGAATGCAATCAAGGCTTTTTAGATAAAAACCTTAGTAAGGTGAGACTTTGTTCAGCTCCAGCAGGTAAGATTTATGAAACACTTTTTGTTTAATCAGCTCTGTACAGCCAAGAAGCCGTGACTCCAGCCTGTGGCCACAACACACAACCCACAGCCCGACTAGCAGCTCATCGACACAGCTCCCAGACTGTGATACCAAAACATAACCTCAGGTTAACAACCCCACTAGTGAATACGTCGACAATCCCACTGGCGAATACAGGCGACACGGCTGCACACATGAAACACAATAATCAAACCAACGTGTCATTAGCAGAAGAAGAAGAAGACTTCACAGCAGCCTATATTAAATGGGCTTAACTTATACACAGCCAGCAATGGGCTGCAGTTAGTTAGCTAACGCTAGCTGAGGAGCAACATTCTCAGTAGATTGTCGCTAACATTAGCATAGCTAACAGCAGCTGGCAGAGGCTCGTTGTGTAGCTCTAGTTTTTACGTGTACCTGTGGACATACCTGCGGCCTCAGCCTTCTCTCCGTCGTGCTCTGCTGGCCCTGTGGTGCTGGCACATCCGTGTGATGATGATTCCTAGGACAGACGTCAGTCCACCAACCACCGGGATAGCGCTACAGCTAGCAGCTGGGGCTACCACGGCTACTCTCTGAGGAGAAGCTTCAGCTCCAGGACACTGTCACAACATGAGGGCTCTGCCAGTGATCTCAGGCTCACCGGTGTTACTCCTCGGCTGGCAGCTGTCCGCACAGAGGCAGGGAGCACTTCAAGCCTCAATGTTTAGAGTTAAAAGTCAACTTCGGCGAGTCGCTGCTCCCTCCGCCATCTTGGTTCTGCTGAAACCCCGGACTCAACCAACTGAGGCAATTTATCGGGGGAGGGTTTAAAATGTAACCCCACGATCCACTTCTGTTTTCACAGGCCTGAGTCAACAAGGCGACAGAATGTTGTCTGTTGTTCATGTTACTGACCGCTGTGAGGGTGCGTGTGCGCGCGCGTGTGTACACAGATGTGTAGTGCAGCAAAAGTTCATTCATCTCTAGCTGATCATTGTTAGGGGATGGACTTTATTACTATTGTTGAACTTAATGCTTCATAGATATCCAGCCCACACCAATTATTAACAATAACGGCCATTACAAATAATTTGCATTGTAATATATTTCCTTTCATTCACACAAAAGTAAAGTGTCATCTGTTGGACACCAGTAACACCACCATACTGGAATGCTTGGAACTATACAACATCAACAGGACACTAAGAGCCTTCATCAAGAACTCAATGGGCCTGTGGAAAACAACTCTAGAGGTCAAAGCCCATCACACAAGTTACCATCAAGTGCAGCATATACCTAGGAGATGCTCTGTCCCCACTGCTGTTCTGCATACGCCTGAACCCATTGAGCCAGATCATCACAAAGAGTGGATACGGATACCGATTCCGAAGTGGAGAAAAGATGAGCCATCAATACATATGCCCTACCAGTCATCAGATACACAGCTGGTGTAATAACCTGGCCAAAGGAGGAGATACAGGCCACTGATATCAAGACAAGGAAGCTTCTCACTATGCATGGAGGGTTTCACTCCAAGATCCAGCAGCCTGAAGCTGTACACTGAGCGAAAGGAGGGAGGCTGAGGACTGGTGAGTGTCAAAGCCAATATACAAGATGCGGCAATGAATATCAAGGACTACATCAGGAAGATGGCCACAGGTGACAAGCTGCTAAGTGAATATCTTAGACAGCAGAAACCCAAAGATGATGATGATGAGGAGGAGGAGGAGGAAGAGGAAGATGAACCATCATGAAAGGACAATCCCCTGTACGGCATGTACCACCCACAAATAGAGGAAGTAGCTGATATCAAGAGATCCTACCAGTGGCTGGAAAAGGAGGCACTAATCATGGCAGACCAAGAACAGGCCCTAAGCAGAAGATCCATAGAGGCTACTGTCTACCACAGCAGACAGACCCAAGGTTATAAATATTATTACCCACGTTCTTATGAACACGATATATCAGGAATGCCCAAAGGGAATTTCATTACAACTGACACAATTCAATTGGACTCAAAGATGAACTGACTAGATTTCAGTGTTCGAAGCTCACAGTGACCATATATGAATCTGGAAAACAAATTTATGTAGAAAGAACTTCTTTCTGTCCTGGGAAAGGAATCCCTGCAGTTGGGGTTCTCCCTAAATTTCTGCATATTTCCACTGTTAAACGAGGTGAGCTGTTACAAAGACTATTATCCAAATTGATCCCGGGAGGCAGACATTTAAGGTTAGACTCCTTTGATAAAGCCTATAGTTTGGACAGGCTCAGTTGAGACCTGAACCTTCACTTAGTTATACCGCTTTAGGCCCTGACTTCTTCCCTCTGTTAAAAGAGAATGTTTTTCTCTCCACTCTTACAGAGTGTTTGCTGATTGTGGGAACTTTTGTGTTGCTTTGTGAGGTCTCCACCTTTCTATAAAAAATGGCTTGAGATAGTTTTGAACAATTGCGCACAACCTTTAAGTTGTGTAGCTCAGATTTCCTAAGATATTATCAGCCACGTGATTTTGCTAGGACTTACTCCTCCCAGTTCCCTCAAATTCCACTTCCAAATGGTGCGGATCTAATACTCAAAGCTAAAACTCTTCCCAAGGGCCATATCTCTTATTTGTATAAACTCCTTTCTCCATCTATAGACTCCGTGGTTAACAAAATTAGGGTCAGCTGGGAGAATGAATTGCAGATTACTTTGTTGGATGATTTCTGGGAAAAAGCCTTTTGAGCGGTCTATTCTTCCTCCAGTTGCGCTATACTTAGCCTAAAACAATTCAAGGTAGTACATAGAATTCACTACAGTAAGGCTGAACTTGCCAAGATCTACTCGGGCAGATTAGATGAGGGATGCAATAGATGTTCTTAGACCCCTTGTGACTTGACCTATATGTTCTGGTAATGCCCCAAATTGTTCAACTTCTGGCAGTCTTTTTCTGATACAATCTTAAGGGTTTTGGGGTTGAGGATCACTCTGTTCCCTCAAATAGCTATTTTTGGCAGACCCCCAGACAAAATCAAAGCAACGGCGACTCAGGCTAATGTCATTGCTTTTACTTCTCAGATTGCCCGTCGGAAGATTCTGTGTTTGTGGAAATCGCCCTTACCACCCTCATTTAAGGCCTGGCTGTGCAATACTCTTTTCCTCTTAAAACTTGAGAAAATAAAGTTCACGCTCAGAGGATAAATTTGATTCTCACTGGAAGCCACTGATCAGTTATGTTAACCAGCTTTCCCCTGGAGAAATGTCACTGTAGTCGTTCTTTTTTATTCTATTTTTTATTTAGCACATGTCTGCTTTGGGTGCTTTCCTCACCATACCTCACTGTCTGCCACACGAACAAACACACGGTAGGGGCATCTATGCTCTAACCCCCGTGACTACTATTAGTTAACGATACTCAACTCCTGCTGCAATGTCCTAGGTGTCAGCAACTACTAACCCTTCTTTTAACTGATTAATCGTCTCCCTCTCTTTTTGGTTGTTTTTGTTTTATGTCTGTTCTGTTTTGTTTGTTGTTTTTTTAATTCTTTTTTTAATTTTCTTATTTTAATTTTTCTTTTGTTTTGATTCTGCTATTTTAATTTAATTTATTTGACATTATTGGTTAACTGTATGTGTTGAGCCAAATATGCTGATCAATCAATCGAAAATAAAGAATACAGTCCAATGGGGCAAACAAATACAGAAATTCCCAGGCAGTAATCAAAGTCAAGTAAACAAGTGAAAAGTACAGGCAGGCAGACAGGATACAGCAAAAACAGCAAGACATCTGGAAGATAGAAAGGAAGAGAAATGATTTATGTATAGTGCATCATAGAGGGGCAGTGGTTTGTACTGTTCCCTCACAGCAATAAGGTTCCGGTTTGAATCCTGGCTTAATATCACTGCTTTTCTTTCAAAACATCATGCCAATGTTGCAGGAACCTTTCCACTCATCATGTATAATCTCCACAAAGGTTATGTCTTTTTGTTGGTTGATTGATTTGCTTGTTTCTCTGTCAGCTTCTGCTGAGTGCCATTCAAGTTATTAAATCATTAGTTGATTTCTTTTAATACTATACTATAAATCTAACAGTCATTACTAAGATATCCATTTACAGCTGCAGCTAAATCATTTGGTGTATAGCAGTGGTGAATAACATGGTCTCAAAGCCAATGGCAATAAAAAGAGAGGAGCCATGTCCTTCACATCTGGATTACTGTTTGAGTTTGCTTTAGTAACTGATTATTTCCCATGATGCTGAATTTCTACATGCACAATTAATCTACATGGAGCTGATAAGGAAATAGCTGCATATTAAAGGTAGCACAGATACTGAGAAAATAACAGAAAGCAGACTTATATAGGTTTTATAAATGGTCCTGCTGCTCCCTCTTGTGGCCACTGCTGATAATCTGCATGTAGTCCAAGGAGCAAAACGTCTGTTGACTTTAAGAAAATAATTACCCCCCTAATGAACCCCACATATTCAGTCACAGTAAAAGAGTTTTAATTGTCTTTATTAAGTAAATCCTACACATTCAGTATTGCTTTAATATTTTTATTTATTCTTTTCACACTAATTTAGAACCTTTTGCAATCAGTACATATAGAACTTTTCAATCAAGCTACACTTTTTTAGGAATACAAAAATATCACAGTACATTTTCTACTAAGTCACCTTCACCTGTGAGGCCCAGAGCTGATCAAAGAGGCACGTTCAGAACCACAGCAGGTGCCTGGACAAAGATGGAAAGTAACAGCACCATGGTCTACAAGCTAAGCACACAGATCCAGGTGAGTGGAATTGTGTGAAGCAGGACTTTCCACAGCCAGACCACTGTGTCTCCTTTTTAATACATGAACACATTATTGAAGTGTGAACTTTGAAGGAGATGGCTGAAAATGAGACAAAGTCACTGTCTATCCACTGTGGGACAACCCCACATGCTTCCCTGTGAGATGCCAAACTAAATGCTCTCCCTTGTAAAAACCAGACCACTCTGAAAAATCATGGATCCTAGTTGTGTGGTTCAGTGGGTTTGTTACTACTCCCAATGGGGGAAAACTTAGTTTTGCAAATCAAAGTCTGTTTAACTTCAAAATCCAGTAAGAATCAGTGCACTGCTGCTTCCCCACACTTGATGGGGAAGTATGTGGGACTGTCATCTTCACCAGCTACTCCTGTCTGTGTTTGAACCTGTCAATCACTTGAATGCTGAAAAGAAGGGTCAGGTATAGCATCCTATTACTTTAGGAATTTTACTGATTATCAAAAACTGGTGGCATTGAATACTTCCTATCTATGTCATGTAAACTCTTCCTTTCACTTCATGTGAATCCCAATTTTCTTTTGATATAATTTAAATCAGCATTATAGAATTGGACAAATTTGTAAAGATTTCAAGAAATCTCTGAAGATTGATCCTGATACATGTGGAGAGCTTAACAGGACAGGAGCATCGATGTGTTGCCTTTAAGACCTCCAACAATTTGATATAATCATAAAAAAAGTCAAACGATATTCAGCCCAACTGATGATGTTCTAACACAGAGTAAGAGTGTCCATGGAGAAGGCCCTCAGTGGCCCTGCGTGGCCTCAGGTTTTGGTCTGGAGCTGAGTTCACATTGCTCCTCAGGCGCACTGAAATGCAAATGTGGATCCCACACAACAAAACCACCTTTAATATTCTGTCTCTTCCCATTCCTCTCTCCATACATATCAGATTCTATACAAAATATCAAAAAAGATTAAACAAAATACAGAAAAATCCTCACCTGTACTGACAATATAATTTCTCATATTAAACCTTTTTTCCCTGTTACCTTCCTTTTCTCCCAATCTGCAAAGATTCAGATCCATAGTGACAAACATTTAGTGAATGAGGCCTCACAGCATCTACCACTCTGGACAGGAATGTTGCAGCAAGAAATTGACTCACACTCAGTGGTTTCATTCAAAACAAAACTCAACTACGAAACAGTGGAACTTAAGTGAGGATGGAGGGTGACAGATCCCCTTCAAATGTCTTCAGTGTAGGGGAAATGGAAAAGATGACTTAGCTGCAGAAAGGAAGGAGTACACTTTAATTCCACGGTTAAACAAACATAAACTATGATAAAACAAGAGTGAGGAGTCAGTCAAGACCACAGGAGAGCAAGGAGGTGACCTGGCTTCTCCTCTCGGTGGACACACCCATAAAAAAGGAAGTCCCTGTGGGTCAGGGTTACAGGAGCTGATTGTCCTGCCTGTGTGCTGTGTTTGCTGAGTCCACATCTCAGGGAACAGGATCCCCGACAGAACCAGACAGAATGTGGCCAGCTCAGTGCAGCGGCAGTAGCAGTGTTAGAGGCTGAGGGGGCGCTAGGTGGGACTTGTCAAGCTTGGCTCAGGCCCAGGCCCAGCACACCCTTGCTCAGTGTGCTGCTTAAGGGGAGAAGGTCGCCATCTCCAGGGAAATGCGCTGCCACAGCTCCTTAGTCTGCTTGCCTCTCTTCAGGTTCTGCAGCACATCGTTAAACTGCATCATACCCACAGGGGTCAGGCAGAAAGCACCTCGAGCGCTGCGGATGATGTTGACAAAGTCATCATAGTCAGCAGGTGTCAGGTGGATGAGCCGGTGGTGGATGTACTGCAGAGAATGAGGCAGAAAGAGGCAGGTGTGATTCTACAGGCGGCTAGGACAGACATGGACAATATCATGTCATAGCATATCAAAGATGTGCTATAACATGGAGAAAAAAGATGTTTGGATTTGTGTGACACAATTCTCATCGCCTCTTTTTCTATTTCTTACTGCAGAACAGATTTTTCAGACGCCTGAACCACATCCCTGAACGTTTCATGGCGTACCAAGTTTTCATGAAACACACCGACAAACACACACACCGACACAACACTCAGACAGCAGGGCCGATGTTAAGCTATGGTCTGTCTGCGTGTTGAGAACTGTATGCTTGCTTGTTGTCTAGCAAAATGGACATAACATTTTTTTTAAAATGTTTTAACGGGCCACCAATGTGGGTGGGATTTCTCCCAGTGCTGCCAATGGTCAGTCACTTTGACTGACAGGTCTAAAGTCTAAAGAAGAACTGATGAAACACTGCAGTGATGACATCAACAGACCACTTAGAGGTCTGAAATAGGGCTGCAACTGCCAACAATTTTGATAATCGATTATTGATCGGATAAAGCTACATTATAAGCCATCCAGCAGTTTATTTAAAAAGCAACATGTTTGACAGATACCTACAACTTAATTCTGATTTATTCTTTCAGTTTCAGATATCATAAAGGTAAATCTGAACACTTTACATTAAAGGCTCAAAGTAAATCTGTGCAAAGCTGATTTCACAAGTCTCTGCAGCACAGCTTCAATGTGGCATTAACCCTAAAGTTGCTAAAACTCCAATCCACCAGAAGAAGAAGATGAATAGCTCCAACATGTTTTCTCTTCAGGAGCTCCCACAGTGATGTGCTGCTGTACCATGTGAAACCTGCTTAGCACATTAGCAGCAAATGAAGGCTTGAGGGTAAAGTGTTCCCACAGTTTTGATGACTTTTCTCCTCTGTATCGTTAGCAGCGTTTGCCTTCACAATTTTTCAAATACTTACTCTAGAGAGCAGACGGCAGAGAAAATCAATGACTTCATTGTGACGTCACTTTGAAGGCAGAACATTTCATCATACAGTGTAGTAATGCATTAATCCGGCAATGAATGAGATTAAAAACATGACCTGCTTAGAATAACAAACAATTTGTCATCAAAACTAAGAATAAAGTTGCGTTATTACAATATAAATATATGCATGATTGGGCTGTATACATGATATGATGTTATAAAAACGAGACTGAAGCGCTATTGATGGAGTGTGTGTGTATTGGCGCAGACTCTCTCCAAATGACGTCCTCAGTGCAATATGGCAGCGTTCATATCCATCTTTATTTAGAGTTTGTGAGTATGAGCAAGGTATGCATTGCAATGTGGACATAAAAATGACCCTGTCTGCTCACAATAGCTCTGGAATGCCTTCACAATGATGCTTTCAACCTAATTAAAAGACATCTGTGGTTTATTGACATATCAGACTGCACTAGAATCTGTCCATCTACTCCACTATGAATGTACGCAGGGCTGCAGCATGGGCGGAGACGCATCGTACCTGCAGGTAGGCCTGTTGGCAGCGCTGGACGAGCTGATGGAAAGCAGGTGTTCGGAGATGAGCATGGATGTGGGCTGGGTTCAGCCTCTGCAGAGCCTCCATGATGATCTCCTGCAGGACAAATGGACTGAGGACACCTTTTGCTGCTCCAACACAGAACTGGTACACGTAGTTGACTCCTGACAAGATGGATAGGCAGAGAGAAGGAAGAGAAAGGAGACTGTTGAGTCAGAGAACACAGACCCTTAATTGTATTTTATGCATGTCAATTAAACTTGCAGCCAATCATATATCAAGGACCACCTACACACCTGACATGCTCTGACATGCTACAGTTTCACAATGAATCAAATGTATTTTTACGCTTCAGTGCCAAGATATTGATTTGTTTGTGGCCACCACCACATAATGATTTCCATTGTTTTTTTTCAAATTGGTAAAATCTTTATTCATAGCAGAGCTGATTGATCATTGATAAATGTCACACATCCACACACTGTTAAATACATCCTGTACCTAGAATGGCACTCAGTAGAGTGCATACGTCTGCCAAGATCCAACAGTCCCCTCATGAAACCACATTTAAATTCACTAGATCCAGATTTTTATTTGGATCTGCACCAAATTTCACAGTCATAAAGATCAGCCCCCTAAATATGGTTGACTTTTTCATCAAGATCTGTTCTCTCTTTGTCACTTCTTCTCGTGTTGAGTTTTGCGCACACTTATAACATCTTCAATTAAACAGCATATCATCAAAAACAATGAAATAAACGGACAATTCAGTGCTAAACAAACTGTCTCTTTGACAGCATCAGTATTTATCATATTTTTAGTTATCGACCCCGGTGCTGGTATCTTAAATTAATTAACTGTGCCCAGGACCAGCACATTATTGTGCAGTGTGACTTAGGGCTGTCAACGAATATTAAAAATTTGAATATTAAAATAAAACGGAGATTCGATTGTGAAAGTTAATATTCGACTGTGGAAAAAAACACATCAGCGGGTGCTTTGCGAGTGGGGCGCACTGCATGACGGGTAAGGGACAGGCCACAGGAGTTGCACTTGCACAGTGTCACTCACTGTTGAAAGTGAGACGCGGCCAGGGTTGCCAGACGGGTGGATAAAAATTTGGGCTGGTTTAGATCGGTTCGGTGGAGTTTTGTAGCCGAAACACGGGCACATCATATCCTTCTTCCTGCGACCCTCTGTTCAGCAGGCAGCAGTCTCACTCACTCATTCACTCACATACACACCCACTACAGCTCTGGCTGACGTGCCCCCTAAACTCGCAGCATACACTCCCACTACCTTCAGCTCACATAACCCACAGAGACCCGTTATTACCGACCGTTATTAACAAATTGTTTATTTAAATCAGTATGCGCATTATGCATAGAGAGAGAGTGAAGGGGGCGAGCGACGGTCTAAGTTTTACGGTTAGGTCATTTACTTATTTTGTAATGTGTAGGTTTGTTTTATGTTAAAACTGAAATAAAAATACCCATACAAGTAGTTATGTCTCCTTGTTTTAGTTTGTCCTCCTGTTATTGACATAATGCGCATTGCGCATGCGCATATATTCGAATGGTTCGAACCTATGTGTTTTTTTAGAGCGAATATTCGAACGTCATTTTGGAGCAATTTTGACAGCCCTAGTGTGACTGCAGACTCTTGCAGCCTTCCCCAGAGCTATGCCTTGACAGTTCCGTCTCTGAGCTCTACAGCCAGCTCCATCAACATCATGTCTTGGTTTTTGCTCTGATTTACATTGTTGTGGACAACCATCAGTGACTTTCAGTGAATATATTCATTTTTTCTGTTTTTCTGGGTACAATAATTGAGAGAAAAATTCATCTGAATGATTTTAGCATGAGCCTGCAACTTTCCTAAAATGTAAAATAATCAGTGCAGACTCACCTAGTCTTGCAGCCAGTCCCAGCAGCCATTTGACATCCTCAGTATAAGGTGGACTCCTGGAGAAGTTGTTGGGATGATCATTGTGAGCCCTCCTGCCCAGCATTTCCAATGCTAGCATACCTTCACACAGGTGAACAGAAGAGATCACATTGTTCAGTTAACCTTCTTTACTATTTGCATTCTGCTTAAAGGAAGATATAATCACAGCTCACACACTCCTCACCAACTCTGTAGGCAGAGTGAAGGTAGTGCAGACCCTGCTGGCTGATTGGCTGTTCGTCCTCTGTTGGGAAAGGAGGGCTGACCAATGAGCCTGGCTGAGAAGAGAGAGAGGGTAAGGATGCTCCCTGGATGGTCTGTATGGTGGGGCCCGCGTGGAGGCTGCCAACTGTAAAACATGGCACATCATACTGTTGATCACAGTTGAACAACCGCATCCCATGGTAACATTAACCAATGTACTTTATCTAAGATGACCTACATTTAAAGAACATTGATCATTGTTTGGTTTAAAACAGACTAAAAACACAAATAGCGTGTCTTCCTTACCTGCTACAGTGGTGCTAAGGGGCAGGCCGGTCTCAGCGTGGTAGGGGTGGACGGCGATCTGAGTCATGGACGGTACGGGGACACCAGGGAAAGTCACAGCTGTGGCTGCCATAGGTGGCTGGGGGCCAGCGGCCACTGAGAAAGGGAACTGGGCCCCAATGAAGGCTGGGTGCATTCCCTGGAGAGGTACACACGTGTACACACACTCATTTGTGCTGACAGTTCTGCACTGCATTGTGTCATGGACCAGTGGAAAAAAAACACATCAAGAACAGTTTTGACTACAAAGTCACCATTGTTACTTATTAAATTAAGTTCTAAGGCAGTTTCAAGACACCATCCAGATAATCTGGGGTAGTAATGTAGTAGTGGAATAACAGTTCGTAATATTAACTCATTGAATCTCTGAGTTTTTCAAGCATCATGATCAAACCTTCTCCAGGATTAAGGTTTTTTTAAAGTGAATCTTTTTCGCCTTTAAGACCAAACATCTGAAAATGTCATCTTAATCTCTTGGAAACCAGAGTTATACTAACCAATCAACTGCTTTTAATCAATTATATAATCATCAGATTAACATTGATAATGATTAGCATCCCTTGATATTTTGTAAACGTGCACATGGCTTAGTGAATGTGTCAGGTTATGTAGATCGACAGCCTGTCTTTGTAAGATATGAACACATCATCTAATCTGTACTTTCCATCTGTGGACACCATTTCAGCTTTATCTTAATACAAAGAAAATTCCACAAAAGCCCTGTTATGGAATCAAGAGAACCTCTGACCTGTGGATATGCAGCCCCAGACACAGGGAAGACGGTGGGTCGGGGGACATGCTGCAGAGGATGTCCCAGGTACTGGGGAGTGCAGACCGTGGGGAGATGGGCCTGGATGGTGGTGTAGGGGTGGAGGCCTTGGCTGTGGGGGTGAGCCATAGCCTGCCCGGGCATGGCATGGGACTGGTAGATGGTGGAGCCCACGGAGATGACGGGTACGACGGCTGCTGCAGTGACTGAGGCTGTGACAGTTGCCACCCCCGGAGACTCCATGCTAGCCCCGCTGTCAAGGACACCACAGCTGGATTCCAGGGGCCTTCTGCCCGAGCCCCCGTTTGCCCCACAGCGCCCAGAGGCCTCCCGCTGCTGACCTGAGCCCCCACCCACTGACTGCTCATACAGCCAGTACCACTGGTGAGCGACCTCAAACAGAACCTCAGGATACACACCTCCACCCTTGGCTGCTTCCTCTACTGCCATGCAGGCCTTCTCCAGCATCACATTGTCCTGGAGGGACACAGAGACAGGCAGGGACAAATTGAAATATGTCTATCAATCAATATCATATTACCTGATTTACCACAATAAATCATGAATTATGTGTCTTGTTTGGTTTTTCAATGTTATTTTCCAGTCAGAGGTGCTTGGAGTTCAGTCCATGAACAAGATACTGGCAGTGTGTGAAAGGTGTGTCAGAGAAAGAGTTCTCCGTACAGAAGCATTGTAGAATGTGTGTGTGAGTGTGTG